ACGATAAATACAAGACTCGAGAGACGATTGTTTACTTTGTTTAATTTCTACACATTAGCTACGATTTTTATTATGTAGCAAATTGGAAAATCTTGTCATTATTTTTTTATTTTCTTGTAGTAGAATATTGAAATCTCTATGAACAAACATTCAAAGAAAATTCCCAAGGATTTCTACTTTTTTTTCTGTCCAAGTTTTTTTTCTATATTTTTATTTAAAAATGTTCCAAAATATTTCCAAATAAAGTACGTAAAATAATACAATTTTTCAATTTTATCTTCAATGGTTTAAATAATTACAATGAATTTTTATATTTTAAATATAGAGATTGTTTGGAGAATTGGTATAACAAAAAAAAAGTAATAAATGATGTTTTGATAGTCGGAAATGCGTGGGAAAATAAAATAGAAACGAAGAAGCATCTTTTGTGAGAAAAAATTTGAGAAACTGTACAGGCCGGAACCGTATCTAACTAATTTTTGAATGAATTTTTTTAACCATTCGTAAAATTTGCAGTAGGCAGAACAAGATCTCGGCATATTGGTGGGTCCCAATACTACGCGTCGTGAGTTGGCCACGTGATGGGAGGCAAGCATTTTTAATCACGTGATGCGATGCGGATTCCACGGACTTACTGACAACTGTACTTTCTCAAAAGTCTATGAAATAAAAAAGATCGATAATTAATTAAAAGCTAGTCTGTCTCAAGAATGGATTATTTAAAAAAATAAATAAATAAACAAACAAACACAGAGAGAGAGAGAGACAGGTTTTATGATACTAAAGAAAAGCAATAAAAAAGATGTGTTAACAGATCCCTAAACGGATTCCTTAACATAAGAATGTCCATGAAACACTTGCTAAAAAATCAAACCTTAATAATTATGTGCAGTGCTTGTGCTTGTGCTTGTGTTAGTATTAAACAAGAATAAACCTTAATGACACCTAACCTAAGTGCTAGCTAGCTCTTGGGTTGTGCTATTTGGAGCTTTGCTTTGGCTTCGTACTAACTGTATTAGGTCCGTTTAGAAACATGCTGTTCTTGGTGTTTTCCCTTGCTGGGGGCTTAGGACAACCCTTTTCCTTTTAATTTTAACTTTTGGGTGCTTTGTTTTGATGGCTATGTGCTTGTTTAATTTTGCAACAATTTCTTTTGGGAACATGATGATCCATATATTTTTAGCGCCAATTATGTTTTGGGCCTTGTTTATTTCTACCTGAAATAAAAATTCATATTCAAGACTCAAGTTTTGTTTTATTTCATTAAGAGGTAAGGTCTAAAGCTCTTAAATCGAACCAGTACTGAGAACTTTTAGAATTTAATAGTAAATGAGGGTGGGGTAGTTTAGGGGCACCACTCTAATGGTTTTCTGTTAATCGGGTTTGATAGCTGTCTTTATTACAAAATATATATATATATCAAACCATAGGTTAATTGGCATTTGGTAGTTTAGATGTTTGACATATATAATTGGACACATATAAATACACGATGAGTCACAAATATGCTTCTATTCTCAGCTTGGAAAGAATTAACTCGAGATTTTGAAAGAAAAAAAAAAAAAAACCCTTATTCTTGCCTATAGAAAAGAAAGATTAATTTATTTATGTGAAATAGCTAGCTAGGGTGTATATATAATTATAAATAAAACATGAAGGATTTCTGGCAATTATATATATTAATGGAGTTCATGAACCTGTTTAGGCTGTCTTTGTGTTTGGAATCTTTCGTTGCTTTTCTTGTATTGTTTAGTAGGCAGGGAGGTGGGGTTGCTCCTATTTCCTCTTACAATACGCGTTCTATGTTCTTTATCGATTGGATCATTTACATTAATGATCATCAGATAACATGTAAATTGTTATGACCTAATGGTTAGGTTTCTTTTTTTCTTTTTTTTAATGGTGTATCTCTTTAACACTTTCGACATAGGATTTATATAAGCCAAGAGTATTATCGATGTTAACTTACATTCGGAATGCAATGAATCCAAGTTAACAAGCCTCATTTCTTAACATTTTAAAAATATTAGTAAAATGATAGTTTTCGTACAAGGTCCCTAATAAATAATAAATAATAGGTCTAAATTAATTAAAAACTTAAGTATAGTTTTTTAAAAAAATTAACACACATGGTACTATTCATTATAATATAAAGAAGTTTATTTAAATGGTTAAATTGGAATACAAGAATATGAATTTTTGATCAAATTTTGACATTTAATATTTTTATGTATGATGTACAAATATTAATTGGTGAGTCCTAATTGAGAGTCCGTTATTCTCCAACATTTAATTTATGTCTTCTATTCATCTTTCTGTCAAAATTTTTAGATAACAACATTAAATCTTGTCGAGAAACACACATGACTCGTGTCTATTATTTATTTATTTATTCAAAATTAGTTATAAGTATTGTAGAAAAGGGTTTTGAAAACCGATCGGCTAACTAGTTGGCAAGCCAATCAAGATGTAGAGAGTTAGTATTATGACTTATAAAAGCAACGTTCAACTAATCAAACAAAAAAGCTACAAATAGTGAAAAACGTGAGAGGAGAAGCAGGTAGAGTTTTAGATGTTATCTAGTGTGTGAGTAGGAGAGTTTTGAGATAAAGAATTCGAGTGTTTCTTTTGCTAATGATTGAAAGTTCTAAAGTAAAAAATTCTTTGATGCAAAAGTTCTGATCCCCTCATAAAGATATAAGATTGGTATTTATAGTGAAAGAAGATGGTCTTTTACCGCTTAGATCATGCCACATCTTCTAAGTTTGTACTTGTCGGACTTGGCTTGAAAGATTTAGGTTTTTTAGGTTAAAATACTTCAACTTACTAGCAAAAAATAAATGAAGCAACAATTGATCTTTTCTTTAATGGATTATGCTCGAATCCACAAAACTAATATTCCTAATGCATCTCAAAAATAAGAAATGGACACTAGTTCCGTCAAAACGCTCATGTTCATCCTTGTAATCCATGACTTGATGTTGAGTGAGACTCGTCTTTAGTCTAATCCATTTATGATGTAGTTTGAGCCTATTTAAAAATAATCAAGAAACATAAAATAGATTAACATATAATAACAAATTAATTAATTTTTTTAATTATTTTTTTTATGAACAAATTTAACCTAAATAGCGGGAACTTGATATGTCTCTCTTCTACCTAATCTCTCCTTCTTTCACTCTTTATTAAGTCTCACTTTGAAATAAACAAATCCAAAATTAGGGTTACTTCTTTTTGTCACTTATTACAATCCAATTTGAAACCAAATGATTTTACTTTCTCATTACTTCTTAAATCTACTCTTTCAAATCAACAAAACGATAACTGGAAGCCAATTAGATTCAAACTCATTTGCTAAAATATGCCTTTGACCAATTTGTCTATGTAAGCACCACTCTTTTTGATATTTACATGAAATTGGAATTTGTAAATCATTTACGTAAAATGTTTGACTATATGCCCGACATAGATGTTGTTTCTTGAAATGCAATGCTTTATGGGTGCTCACAAAATGGGTATGATGTTGATGCTTTCAAAGTTTTTGTTCAAATGCTTGAGACGATTTTTGTCCACTTCAAACTATGTTGGTTGGTTTGTTTCGTCTTATGGGCAATGTGAGCTTGTGTTTAAACGGAGGTCTACTCATCGGTTTGGAATCAAGACTGGTATTTATTAAAGGATCATCTTATCCAAAAGCTTAAGCTTCAAATACTTAGAGACGATTGTTGTCCATTTCAAACTATGTTGGTTGGTTTGTTCCGTCTTATCGGCAATGTGAGCTTGTGTTTCAAGGGAGGTTTACTCATGGGTTTAGAATGAAGGTCGGTATTTATCAAAAGACCGTCTCACCCAAAAGCTTAAGCTATTAGGTAAGGCCCCGGATATGATTTATATTATTCTCTAATACACCTCCTCAAGTGAAAGCCCTTTGGAATCAAGGCTTGTGTAAGTTTCAAGCCCATACTACCTTGTGCTTAATTAATTAGAAGAGAAAATGAAGGTGATAGGATTCAAACTCGCAATCGTTTGGTCATTAAGGCTTTAATACCATGTCAAATAACCATCTCACCCAAAGCTAAAGTAATTAGGTGAGGCCCCAAGATATGATTTATATTATTATCTAACACTATTGATCTAGATTCTCAAGTGAAAAACACACTTACATATATGTATGCTAAATTTGGAGATCTAGAAGTGGTTGATCTTGAACTCCTACCTTCGATAGGTGATTTTCATTTTTATACACCATTTGTTTAATTTTGAAAAATATTACTCGATGAGATTTAACATTGTTACCTAAGAATATTGATGGAGCGATGAACGTAAGATACAAACTAAACATTGAAATATGAAGTTAAAACAAAATTTTAATAGAAAGGAACCACTCGAATCACTAACCCAAATTGTTATCTATGTAATGTTTTCTATATTACTTCTTGTACCTTTCATTAGCGAGTGCAAACAAAATTCAATTGCAAATCAATGAGCAACCATTACAATAAAACCTTTCCCCCTTTTTTCGTGTATTACATATGCAAAATATTTTTAAATCAAATAACTAGAAGTATGAATTAAGCTGAATTGTACACATACTAAGATCAATATTTAAATTAATTAATTATTAAATTGTGAATATGGCTAACATAAATTTAAAAAATTTTAAAATAATTTATTAAAGTGTAATAATAACAATCATATCAAAATACTTGATTGTGTTATGAAACAAGTTATAACATAAAGATCAAACATAACGGAGATCAATTTTTAGTTATGTAACAAGCAATACCTTATATACCGGAGCAATTTTTAAAACCATAATTCAGATTCACCAGCTTTAATGTGTATATAGCATATAGTTTATAGAACAAACGAATGCTTATTAGGAGCCTTTATTCTTCTATAATATAATACTAAAACCCTAAAAGACGTGAGGTTCTGATCGTTTATGTTCCTGTTTACCTCTATTGTTTGAATATATATAAAGTCAATCACCAAAAAACGTTTACAGTTCAATGGTTAGGATAATTGCCTTTTAAGCAGTACACCAAGGTTCGAGTCCTAGCCGCTGCAGCTTAAATTTTTGTAATTTTTTTTCTCCTTCCGTTTGAAGCCAATCCCTTTTTTTTTTTTTTTTTCACAAGGCCCTCTTTTGACTTTTCATAAACTTTAATTTTATTTTAATCCCTGTTTTGTATTTTTTTATTTTGGTCATTAAAATTTTATTATATTTGATTTTTATCCATATAATAAATATTAAAATTTTACTATATTTGATTATTTGATTTTTTTTGAATAATAAATATTTTTTTCTTGACTTTTAATAAAAATTTATGTCCTTTTGTGGTTCTTACTTTGAGATATGTTTTTATTTTGGTCATTAAATTTTTATCATTTTTATTTTTATCATTACTATACTAAAACTAAATAAAGTTTCACTATCCTAAGCTTCTTCTTCTTCTTCTTTTTCTTCTTTTTAGTGAAACTATTCTTTCTATTACAATTCCTGTTTTGTGATTTTTTTCTTTATTTTACCCATTAAATTTAGTAGAATTTTATTTTTTTTATTCCTTGTTTTGTAATTGTTTTTTTTTATCATTAAATTTTTTTTATCTTTGATTTTTTCCTACAATGAACTATTTTTTAATTTTAGTAAAACTTTTTGTTATGTTTTCTTTTTATTTTATGATGTTTCGTTTATTTTGATCATTGAAGTTTTATTATATTTGATTATTATTCTTTCTACATTAAAATTAAATAAAATTTCACTATTCTAAGTTTTTTGTTGATCTTATTTTGTAATTTTTTTTTTAGTTTGGTCATCAAAATTCTATTATGTTTTACTTTTTTTCCTACCTTATGCAAAATGAATTTTTTATTATTATTACTGTCTATATATATATATATATATATATTGCTTTTAGTGAAAGTTTTTTTTTTTAATCCTTCTTTTATAATCTTTACTTTGTTTTGATAATTATAGTGTGTAATTTTATCTCTTTTTTTTTTTTTTTTTACCAAATTCTCGATTTGAATAAGCTTTTTTGTTTTTTTGCTTTGAGTGGTCTCTCTATCTCATTAACAGATTACGGATAAAGAATATATAGTAAAAATTAATCATCTAAAATTCAAAAAACTACCACGTTATTATTTTAGTTATTTGTTATTATACATATTTCTAATAAAATACATATTTATATGAAACAATATCTAATTAACAACTTTATATTGCTAAACTTTGCGGACTTTTCGTTTAGTTAATCATGTAGCAAAATATGAGATATACGTTCGGTTCTTTTTTTTTTTCTTTTTGCATGATGCTTTTAAATAATTATTTTTAAATTTTGTATTTTACATGAATGAATACATAAGAATGTTATATAGCTCACCGCACGGCAACGCGCGGGATATATAAACAGTAAATCACTATTCCACTATAGTTTAGGTTTTTTTTTTTTTTTTTTTGTAATTTTAAGTTATTTCATTTTGGTCCCTAAAAAATCTAGCTTAGGTTTTCTTCTTTTTGTAATTTTTAAGTTATTTCATTTAGGTCCCTAAAAATTTAAAATAAAACTTTTAATCCTCTAATCGATACACTATACATGCTTTTTTTTCTTTTGGTTTTTTTATTTGCTTTTTTCCATCAATTATGCTTTTTTTTTTTTTACTTGATTGGGTGTTAAAATTTTGAAAAATTAATTTTTTCTTTATTTTTTCCCATCAATTTATATTCTTTTTGTTTTTTGAAGTAGGTTTTAAAATTTTGAAAAATCAATCATAACTTTTTTCTTAACAAACTAACGATTATATAATATATCTTTTTATACTTTAAAATTAACATATACTTCAGCTTATATTACTCTTATTTTTTAAATTTCATTCTTCAAATTTATCATTTTTTTAATAAAAATTCTCATCCAATTAATATTTTTTATATGAAATTTTATTTACTGATATTATATAATTTATTTTTCTCTATGTTTGAATTTTAGAATAAAATTTTAAAACATGATTTAAAAAAATAAATAAATTGGTATAATATATATAATGAATTCTTAGAATTTTTATATGATAGTTGCATATATATAAATATATAATTATTTTATTTTAAAAGATTAAAAGTATATTTCAAATAATTTGTCTCAGTTCTACTAGATATGGTTAAGAAATATAAAAAAATTATTAAATCGTTGATTTAATTAAAAAATAACTATACATATCTCAACATATTACAAATTATGGACTATAAATATTTTTTTAACATTATATTACCAATTTATTTAGAATAAAATAATTAAAATAATTTTTTAAAAGAACCAACCAATTATTCAAATACCATTTTTTATGCTAATTTTATTGATTACTAAATTTAAAAATTAACTATACATCTTTCAAAAAAATACAAATTATTTATTATAAATATTTTTTTTAATATTATAGAACCAATTTATTTAGAATAAAATAATTAAAATATTTTTTTAAAGGAACCAACCAATTATTCAAATATTATTTTTATGCTAATTTTATTGATTACTAAATATATAAATATATATAGATCAATCCATAAAAAAGAATAATTTATTTTTTTAAGTAGATAATTTATCAAAAATTAATTAAATAAAGTATTATAATTAAAAAAATTTTAAAAATTAAAATAATTTTGTTTTATCGGATCCGCGACGTAGCGCTAGCAATTAACTAGTATGAACTATATTAGTTGGGGATAATGGTTCTGAGGTCCTATTACTGTTTTTTTAATTTTTTTAATTATGTGTTTTAACTAATTTTTTTATTAATATCATCATTTAATATTTATTTTACATCTTAATTTCGTCTAATTTTTGGATAATGCTGTAAAATCTCAGCGAGAAAGAGATAAGATGCTACCCGTGATAATTGCTTTTTCCGAAAAAAGTAAATAAATTTCTAAAATTTAAAATTAAAAACCCCAAAATTTCCAATTCAGTTTCAAATCTCCCCTAACCCAACCTTAAAACCCCAAAATTCCCAACTAAAGTAGCTAAAATCCTAGTGATGGATAAGAAAAAAGATTTGGAAGTGATAATTCTGAGGTCCCAATACTGATAAAACCCAAAACCAAGGTACAAGATCAAAATCATGATGTTAGAAAGAAGAGTGATTTTCGTAAACAACATTGTAGATTGTTTCACTGCTTTGTGTCCGCTGCAGTGTAAATCACCACCACCTCTCATTTGTTTCAAGATGTCTATCAACAACCATGCTAATAACAGATACCAAGACAAAGACAAAGAAACAACAGAACTGAAACTAAAATTCTCCTTTACTAAATTAGCAGGAAGAAATGGATCAGACTTTTAAAGGCCCAGAGAAACCAAACTTGCCTACCAAAGCGTGGAAAAAGCATGTGTACCTGCCAAACGAGAAGAGAAGGAAAGCGAGGAGAAGAGAAGAAGAGATGAAAGAATGAATGACGAGAGGGAAGAGACAAAATTGAAGAGAGTAGATGCTTGACTGATAAAGAAACGAAGAAGAAGAAGAAAAGGATCAGTTTGGGATCAGTGTTTCTTCGATCGATCAGCGATAATTGAAGAGAGAAAAACAAATTAGGGTTTTGGGAATTTAACATGATTTGGGAATTTTAATATGGGGGCATTTTGGAATTTTTAATTTTCCATTTCAGAAATTTATTTATTTCTTTTGAAAAATCAAACAGAAAAAAATAAAAAAATCAGTTGTCAGCAATCTATGTTTCCTTCGATGAGACTGTTATCTGAAAATTTAAACAAAAGAACAAAATTAAGATAAAAAGTAAATATTGAAGGATGATATTAATGATAAAAATTTAATGAAAAATATGATTAAGATAAAATAACCTGATCCACTAATTTTTTGAGTTATTGAATTATCTTGGTATTTTTAGTAATTACATTTAGTTTTTTCTTTGGGTAAACTATCGGTCATTTGTCCTTTTCTCCAACCAGTCTAAATTCAATGAGTTTAGTGCCAAAATAAAATAAAAAAGAGTTCAAACAGATATTGGTTTGTTGGTTGATTAATTCCGATTTTGGATTAAAATAAGTACCGGTATTTGCCTTCTACTTAGTTATTAGGATTGAATCTTCATATTCGGTTATTAGGATTAAAATAAGTACAGGTATTTGGCTTCTACGTAGTTATTAGGATTGAAACTTCATATTCGGTTTTTTTTTTTTGTTAGTATTTTTTATTTTAATTTGATAGGCATTCATTTATACTCTTATTTGAGATTGCTAACATGAACTTATATCTAAGATTTTTTTTTCAGATTTGGTATATCAGAATACTTTTTTATCATTAAAAATACATACATAAATATATATAGATGTGGACATAAAGGAAAATTTATTTTTTTGAGAATTACAAAGAAAAAGATTTTAGTTTAAAACTCTAGGCAACAATGAAATAATAAGTTTAATGCATAAAAATACTTTAATTTTATTATTGTTGTTGTTGTTATTTTTCCTTGTGTTGTGATGCGAACTTTCAACTATGTATTTTTTGAGTAAATTATAAATTAATTTCTTTATTTTTGAAAGATAAAAATATATATATATATATATATATATATTAAAACTAATTATTTAGTTATTGATAAGTGTTGAAAATACTTAATTTAATATTATTTTATTTCAAAAATGTTATTTTTTCATATTTCTTACTTATTTTTTATTTATTAAAGTAAAAAATAAAAATAAATTAAAAACGAACAACAAAAGATTAAGTTATAAAAAAATTTAAAAATTTAGGATTAATTTGAAACAAGAAGGATGAATTAACTCGTTTCTTGAAACTAGAGGGAGTAATTTATAACTTACTCCTGTTATTCGGCTTAACATGGATTGGGACCCAGCCTGACCTCCCAGCAGGGGTTTGGTTAGCTGGCTCATCAGGAGGAGTGGCGTATGTCCTTTCGATTTTTGCACGTGAGTTGCTGGGTCAACTCACGTGACCCACCAGTTGCATCTGTGACGACAAAGCTTGAAAATGACCGCACATCACTGTACACTTTCCATCTCTCCTCCCTCTAACGTCGTGTTGGGCCTATGGCTATCTCTCAATTTAAATACTCAATATTTATTTCAACATACCCTATCACGTGCTTTGTAATAACTAATAGCTTTAGCAAAATAGTAGTAATAACAAATGAGGGATTCCTGCCGGTGGATTAGATCCAAATCAAGATTATTTTTTTGGGGTGAAAATTAAGATATTTGTGGTCCGAAATTGAACTTGTCCTTATTGCGAGTTCGTCTAATTTACAAGAGCATAAGAATACAACAATATTAATAAAATTTTAAAAATATAACTATTAATTAAATCAATTGGAATTTGGCAATACTAGCGTGGATGATGAAGGGTAAAGTGATCACGAGCTAAATGTAGAAGAACCAATAATTATAAGGAGACTAATTGACCCTCCAAAAACACACACACACACACAAATTAAAGTGACTAACTGACTATTTAATTTGAAGCAACTCTCTTGAAAGATAAGACATTATTAAGACGTACTAACAACTCGTAAGAAGTGCACTGCATGTGGGGTTTTATATTGCTAAGTGCTCACACTCTATTATCTTATCATGTGATGGAAGGTACAATTTAACCATTTATATTCTAGGAACTTTGTTGTCTACTAGTTTTAAATTCGCATTTTGAGTTCAAAGCTTGCAATTGTCGAAAATAAAGAAAAATTGTTTTTGAAGACAGCATCAACATCTTAAATTTCTATTCTTTGATTATGAAAAGAGAAATTCACAGCCTACGGTAGTCTTACTTTCCATGTTAGCTTTTCCAGTTAAACTCTTTGGAGTGGACTACCTTTCCCTTCTGGTTTCTCTATAATTTTGCACAGTTGAAAAATAATTGGGAGAAGATGACCCAATTACAATAGTGTACATATGGTCACATGATTTTTATTTAATTTGTATCAAATATGTATATTATATATATTGGATAATTTTTAACCGAGGTTGTTGATCTCAACTTTTTTTTTTTTTCGGCCTAGTGCATTTTCCCCAACAATGTGTCATTATTAACCAATATACAACAGACATGTGTAAATAATAATAATTTAAAGTTAGGCCAAGGATGTAAACACCTCCCCAAGACACACACACACACAACAAGTAATGGAATAAAAAGGCAGAGAAATTGAGGTGCCATATGTTCCATTGCCACCTAATTAAATAGTTAATAAATTAAGAACATTGAGAGGCATGGTGCAACTTATGAATGGAAGGCCATGTTCCATCGAATTTATTATTGCGAGCTTAATAAAAGGGAAATGAAAACGATATTGTCACGCCAAGCTGTTCCATTGTATCTATGTGCCTACGTGAATGCTCGCCATGATTATCGGGATTAAGAAAATAACTACATTTATTATGTAGACGCATATTTTATTACGATTCATTTTGGACATCATGGCAGATTCCAGGAAAGAAAAAGAAGATCGAAGAAAGTGCCTGTCAAGAAATAACTATTAGTATAAGAATTTTTTTTTAAAGATTGTTAATTAAACGATTTTACGGGACATCACGGCAGATTCCGGGAAAGAAAAAGAAGATCGAAGAAAGTGCCTGTAAAGACATAACAATTAGTAGTATAAGATTTCTTAAAAAAAAAAAAAGGACTGTTAATTAAACGATTTTACATTAAGATATTCATGCTAATAAAGTTTTTGGTATACGCCAACACATGCGTGTGGGCTTGATGTGTTTAGACTTGAATGGCGAGTGAGAAAAGAGAATAAGAAAAATAAAACTTTTTTTTTATGAGGCGTCCTAAGCCGAGCTTTCGTGTTTTCATAGAGCATAATGGCATGGGCGCGGTTTTGACGTTGATATAGTAAATAAATTAAGCTGAAGTCCAAAAGCGAAAAACTGAAAATTATGTGGGTCTTAAGAGACGAACATGAGAAGATCCGTTGGTTGTTAAGTCGCATGCTCCAGTTTTGATTATTTTTAAATTTCAAATTTAAGGGAAATGGAATGTTTGTCAATTTCTCTGTCTCTGCTTAGTAAATAAGGTGATTTATTTTGTATAATCAGATTAAATGGATAGAATATTCATGCATAAAAAAGAAACAACATCATACTAATATATTTTTGAAAAAAAGACCTGAGAAAGATAGTAGATAATTTGGACATGTAAATAAACTAAAAAGCATGCATAGTGAATTGTTCCTTACTGATGTGATCAAAATATATATATATATAGTGGCATTGGCGGTCAATGCGCTGTTTTTTTCATCAACTGTTTAGGAGGAGTCATGAAATATGCATAAAAAGGAAGTTATGAGAAGAACAGGTTCAAAAACTAGAACAGATATCTTTCATTATTATTTTTAAAAAAACTATATTTCTTTCAATAAAGATAGATACATAAATAAAATCAAATTAATGTTCTATCCTTGGCAAGAAATAAAAAAGAGATGATCCTTACTAAGAAAGATAATTATAAGACCATGAAGCACATGGAGAAGCTCTAACAGGGAGAAAGTTCCGCATTTCGCGGCACTTCAAAGGGAGAGGTGTAAGCACGTGAGGTTTCCTCCTTGACCACCAACATCCTCTGGCGATATTCGGCTAAAAAATAGCAAATTAAAGGGCCATCAAGTTAATTAACGTTTTGTTAGTTAATTGGGATCTGTGCACTAATCATCAGGTTGTAAGAGTAAGAGTATTATCTTCCCTTATTAATCCCTTTGGTAGTGGGGGTCAACCTGTAAGTGTTGATAAGTCAACTGTTTGTTTACCCCCTCACGTGACCAGATAGGGTTTGTGTATGGGCACGTACTAGTAGTATGTGTTATGAACTCTCTTGCCTGAGTTTTTGGCCCTTGCTAGCTAAAGCTCAAACTCCAAGGCAGTGTGGGGGCTAGCGTGTCCTCATCCATTCACATGCCGTTCACGTCCAAAGCGGATATATGTGCAACCTCGAAGCTTTTTAGGACACTAGTACTTAGTCCTGATTGTTGCGTGAGTACCATGATGACCATCGGGAACGAATATGGATGCAGATAGTTCAACAATAAGATATATTTTTATTTTTAAAAATATATTTATTTTTTAAAAAAATTATCAAGTATTTCTGATAATTTTTTTATTAAATGATGATGTGTTCATTATCATCAAAATATCAAATTATAATCTTATCTTTTTTTTTTTCAATTGAGTAAATAAACTTTAATTCTTTCTATTTGAATAAATCATTTTTTTAATTAATTTTTTCGTTAATTAATGACATGTTTGAATATAAAATTATAATTTTATAATTTTTTTTGAAGAAAAATTTCTCTCCTAAATTATTTTATCATTTCAAAATTTCATGAATAATTAAAAATATTATTCATTAGCTATAAAATTTCAAACTAATCTTGGTTAGGTTGCTATTAAAAAAAAAAAATACTCGGTTAGATTTAAGAGTAAAAATTGAAGAAAAACATAAATAATCTTGAAGAAAAATCTCACATTTGTGTTTCCTTCAACTGTCACATCCAAAATCTAGCTAATTTTTCTTTTTTTAACGACAAAGCTAACTAAGTTTAATATGAGATTTTATAACTAAAAATAATTTTTTTAATTCTTTCTCAAAATTTAAAATAGTAGAATAATTTAGAGTGAAAGTTACTTACAACAAAAAGAGAGGAAAAAAATATAATTTGATATTCAAACACATCATCAATTAATATATAAATTGACGAAAAGACTTGATGGATAGTTTTAAAAAAATTGTGTACTCAATAAAAAAAAAAGATCATGAAATTTATTGAAAAAAGAGAAAAAATATATAATTTGGTATCTTGAGAATAACGGATATGTCATTAGTTAATAAAAAAATGATAAAAATACTTGATTGATAATTTTAAAAAATAATATATTTAAATAAAAAAATTTATATATACGATTGAGAAAAAGTTAACAATTAATTTATTCCTAATGCAATTATCCCGTTCAACAATTGATGGCAACAACTTTATACCATAAACTAGATGCAAGCCTTCGCATTGATACAATCATCGTAATTTTATTTCTTTTATTGTATAAATTTTTATTTCTTAACACCTGAATTTTATCCAAAATTTTCATATAAATTATATCAAAACTTATTAGATCAGGTTAGAATTTCAAACACTTTAGATTACTAGCATCTTTTTTTTTTTACTTAATGCATTTTCTTCATTTTTTTTAAACATGCATATTTTTTAATCAATTATAAAAATACAAATCCACATGAAACGTTATTTAAATGAATTCAACATGTGAGAATTCAACTTTATATCATAAACTAGATGCAAGCCTTCGCATTGCTACAATCATCGTAATTTTATTTCTTTTATTGTATAAAGTTTTATTTCTTAAAACCTGAATTTTATCCAAAATTTTCATATAAATTATATCAAAACTTATTAGATCAGGTTATAATTTCAAACACTTTAGATTACTTGCATTTTTTTTTTACTTAATGCATTTTCCTCATTTTTTTTAAACATGCATATTTTTTAATCAATTATAAAAATACAAATCCATATGAAACGTTATTTAAATGAATTCAATATAATAAAAATGGATTAAATAAATATATCATATTTCATATTTAATCATTGAATATTGACAATTACAAAAATAAAATTGACAAAACTTCAAATGAATTTAGTATTAGTGTATAACTAGAAGGTTACTCGCGCTACATTGTAGGGTGAACATAACAAAATTATTTCAAAATTTATAATTTATTTTTACGTTTTCATAGATTTTCTATTTTAAAAATATGATTTATTGTTCTTTATACATTGTTTTAAATAAAAAATTGCAATAATTTAAACTGGAATATTAGTCAATAATAAAAAAAGTACTTCAAAAATATATTTTTCATAAGAATGCATCAAAAAAATAAAGTTACAGATTAATGTATAGACTTTATAAAAATTAACTAATAAGAAAAACCAATATTATTTAATGTTGATGAAAAGATTTTTTTTTTTAAAGTATATGCAATTGATCTATATATGTTTATTTACAAAATAATCAATAATATTAGCATAAAAAACTATATTTGAATAATTAGTATTATTTTAATTATTCTATTTCAAAAAAAATAATAATAAATAAAAAGATTCTATAATGTTTAAAAAATAATTCATAGAAAATGGTTAGTGTCATATGTGAAGATGTATAATTAATTTTTAATAAAATCAATTATTCAATATTTTTTTATATGACTTGACCATACCTAGTGGACTACGACAAATTATTTGAAATACAATTTTAATCATTTGGATTAAAATAAAAGATAATTTTCACACTTAACATAACATATTTGAAATTAATATTGTGTGAATAGTAAAACATGTATTTTAAGTTTATACACTTTACTCATTTGTAATTAATATTATGTAAATAGTAGTATTGAGTCATTGACATAGTTGTTCTTCAAATCTAATTGTCCAAATAATGAAGCAACCATAGATGATCCATTTTTTTTTTTTTAAGAATGTCATGAATTTAAAATAACCTGGTCTAATGACGTACTATATAAATCATAAGATACATAACCATTTATGTATAAACTTTATGAGGGTAATATTGTCCTAACCACATACTTGTGAAACCATAATATTTTTTTCATCAATCTTTTCATGATATAAATATATATTTTAACTTTTTTCTAATTTTTATAAAAAATTAGAAAATAACATAAAATGTAAACAAAATGATTAAATATTTTTTTTAAGAAAAAGGACCAATTAATTGATTTTCCAAATTAAAGGGACTAATACATAATTTACTCTCAATTATTTCTGTCTTGAATGCAAGCATATTCAAAGGCCCGTAAATCAAGCTTTACTATTATTTCGTCTTGGGTGCAGTGTATTCAAAGACCTACAAATCAAGCTTTAATCAAGCAAATTATATATTAGTCCTTTTAGTTTTTATAAATGAATTAATTAGTTAATTTTGTTTCAAAAATTAATTATTTAACCTTTTAATCGATCCGTAACTATTGATCATATTTAATGTAATATATTTTATTTTATAAAATATTTTTGGTTATCATTCTTTTTACGATATAAATTTATTTATTTATTATTTTCTATTTTTAAAATAAAAAGGAAAATAAATTAGAAAATAACATAAAAAGGAAAAAAATAACTAAATAATTAGTTCTTGAAATAAAAGGATTAACTAATTTATTATTCCATCTCTTCAAGAAATTCTTGGCGAAACCTCGGGACCAAAGGATAAGGCCTCTAAAGTTGATTTACTTTTGCAATCAAGCCATTCGATCAAATCTAGATTAGACCAAGTAAGCTTATCCGATACTTTCATTTGAAAATCATCTTTATCATGGAATTCAATAAACTTACTTTGTTAGACTATCTTATAAGATGTTGGAGCCTTTGTCGACTTCTCTTTTCGAGAAGGACTTAGGAGTTGAGGCTTATCCACTCATGCAAGTATACAAAAACTTCTTGATGATGTTTTCCTTTATTTTCTTTTGACTAACTCGTATCGATCATTATTCAATTTTTTCCTCTTGGGTAGGTATTATCGGTTAAAGAGCCGCCAATGTCTATTAAAGAATTGATGCTCGAATCAATCACAAGGAAAAATTTTAATGGTTGATTTAGTTGAGGATAATTTTGAATAGACGTTAGCCAACGAAACTCTAAGTGGCTTCCACATATAAAAGTTTTGAAGCTCTAATTATAGTAGTAAAAGTTTTTTAAAGCTTATGCTATGTGTGATCCAATCACCGCCTTAGTCGTCTATCAAGGACCACTTATAACACTTTCGACAAAACATAATGAAGAAATTGGGTTTTAAGATCTAAACTCCCATCATAACGATGATGAGGATGAAATCTTGATGAGTTACTCAAACCATAATCCTAACATGAAAATTAGTCCGAAATCGGATCCTTCGTCGAGGCTTCTAGTGCCAATAAAGATACCTATTCAGCCAACCATTATTTTAAATCAATAAATTCAAATTGTGCCTCATATGATTATGATAGGACCTCTTAGGATTATGGAGACATAATTTTTTTACTTTTGGTGAGTATGCTAATCTTCTCAATTTCTTTCCAACTCTATCTTTGCATGAATATGAACAAGATCTGTTTGAGACAACAAAGAACACGATCCTTGAAGTGTTGGAAGAAGAAAAAGAGATGTAAGGCTCGCTTGAAAAAAATAGGTAATTCTTCATAAAAGGGACTCCAACCAAAATTGTTATGGCTTTAGGCGAGAAATAAATTGATTTGGAGTAGAGTAAAATCCAACTCGGAAGAAGAGATTGAAGAAGCAAAGCAAAGGTCGGCGTGATTGAAGTCTACTTGAATTGCTTTAGATTCCTAGATTATTCAACTCAATAACGACTTAATCGGATGGAAAAACCTTGATTTTGCTCGTTGAAAAAGATGCGATCGATCGAATCTTATTGTAGCACTTGCAACCCTTTTGGATATTCTTAAGAGTAGGATACCTAAGAAGTAATTTTATACTAAAACTCTAATTTATTCAAATAAAAAGGTATTTTTACTTCATTTTCAAATTACTTGGTTGTTTTTAGCCTTAGACTCAATTTTGAGACAATTCATGCATTCACCATAATTCGAAAATCGAGATTCTAAAACCTATTTATTAGTCTCCTCAATTAAAGGAATGCATAACTTTAAATACTTTCCATTAATACCTTTATTATGTTTGACTCCTTATAGGCTTTTCAACTTATAAGCGTTCCTAGAATAAATTTCTTTATTTAAAAAAAGACCTTCCCAATTAGGGGACCATTTACCAAGAATATAGTTTTTTTTTCCCAATTAGAAGTATAATTTTCCAAACTAAATCTTCATTCGAAAAGTTTTTTCTTTTAACCTTTCGATTATAAGTTCGTGCCATTCTATGTTTTTGAATATGAATCTTGTTAAATGTCACAATTTTTTTAAATCAAGAGATTCTATTTCAACAAACATGGCATCTATATAATCTATTCAAGACATCTCATTTTGTCTTTATACTCTTAAAGATTGGGCTATAATCTCGAATGGTAGTATCGTATCATGTCCATAAGTTAGTCGATATGGACTTGTTTCAATACTCTATGTAAAACCAATTTGATGAGTCCATAGAGTGTTTTATAACAACTCATACTAATTTCAAGGATTATTGATAATTATTTTTTAGATGTTCCTCCTTAATGATTTTATTTGATGTTTACGCTTGCTCATTAGCTTGAGCATAATATGGCGTCAAATTGATTATGTCAAAGCCAAATTCCATTATGAGCTTTTGTATTTCAACTAGAAGTAATGGTGACACATAGCTCGCTGCAGAGGACACGAGGGCTTAAGTTGAATTGGAGTTGAGAATCAATCACTCTTACTTGTTTCCTTGATAAATATTGAGGCTTAGGTTTAGGGTTTGAAGATACAATTATTTGCCCAACTCATTCTCTCTTTGTTTTTCTTTTTTATTTGTAAACCAATTTGTTTTGTAATTGGTATTGTTTTGACTAAATCAAATGAGATTCGAGTGCATTAATGAGTATATGATTTGGTTAAAAAAAAAAATTTTAATTGATAGAAATATAATTTTGATAGTGAAGAAGGTGATTTTAGCTAACTATATATGATCTTTAATTTGGTTTTTTTTTATTTTATGTTTTTTATTTTGGAATCTTTAATTTTTTAAATTCTAATACAAGATTGCTTGCATGTTTTAGTTGCTAATAATTTGTAGATATTTGGTTGTTTAATTTGGTAATAACTGATCATAAGTATGGAGTCTTTGAGAAAATATTAAGATATTTAATGTCAATTTGTTACCTTTATTTTGAGTTCATGAGTTTTTTTTTTAATCTAAATACTTGTTACCTTTTTTGTTACTCGTTTATTTATTTATTTTTTAAAATTGAATATTTTTTTGTTTTATTTTATTAATATTTCTATTTTTATTTTATTTTTTCACATGTCAATATTATAACATGTCATTCTATATGTTATTTTTATCTAGCATTTCATATAAAAATATTATTTGTTGTAAAAAATTTAATTGAAATCTTATCGGAGGAGGCATATTAAGAAAATATTAAAATAAAAGATGTAATAAATAAATTAATAATAATAGAGAGACAACGTTAAAAAAAAAATCTAAAAAGTAAGGCAAAGAATCATGCAATTAAAGCATAAAAATATTGTTTTAAATTTTTATTTATCGGGATTGCCAAAAACATAAAAAACAGACGAAGTAAATTATTGAGTTCCGTGAACCATAGTGCCACACTCAATTTAGAGCCAGTAAACAGAAAAAAAAAAAATAAAAATAAAGCACTCCATACATCTGTAAAAAACAAAACCAAAACGTACTCCGTGACACTTAACACCGTCAACCCCGCCGCAACGACGTTAAGAAAACGCCGTTTCTGAAATAACGGAAAATCAATGAAGCATGCTTGAGAATAAACTGTATAAAAGTCCCAAAGCAAGCAAACGCCAGAGAGAGAGAGAGAGAGAGAGAGAGAGAGTTTCTTCGACTAGAGTCATTTCTTTTGCTGCACTGTTTGTTTTGAAGAAAATAAATGGTAGGATAAATAAAGGTAGACATATTTCTTTATATAGAAATTCAAAGGAGATTTTTTGTGCATTTTCGTTCTCGTTGAAGCTTTGGTTTCGATCATTTCCGGAGTAGAATTTCGTGTTTTTCTGAAACCGGAGAGTTCGATTTTTGAAGCTGAAACTGGACGAAATTTAACGCAATTCAGATCAAAGGTACCTTTTAGCTTTAATTATGAATCTTATTTCTCTATTTTTGTTTGAGAATTGCCTTTTTTTTTGTGGCTCAACAAGTTTTTGACTTGAATTATGGATAATTAATTAAGAAGTTTTCTAGAAGTGGAATTCCGATTAACAAGAATTTTTTAAACCGTAATTATATTGCAGATTTGTTAACATCTGTGATTTGGTGTCGTGGTTGGTGGCCAAAGTTCGTTCTTCTGAAGTTGAACTGTTTTTGAGAGAGAATTTTCTTCTCTCTTTTGAAAACATTTCAAGAACCAATTTTGTAAAGAAAAGTGAATGCGCCTCCGATCTCATGCGGAGGCGCCATATTTTTTCAAAAATTTCAAAATTTTCGCCTCCAAGACGGATCTGATAAAAAGAGATTAAGTACTTGTAGATACTTATTTAATTCCCAAAATTTCTCGGCTTTGGAACATGGAGCTTCCTCAACCACGTCCTTTTGGAGCCGAAGGTATTTTAATTACTCAATACTTTTGATTTTTTGATTTAGCTAGCGTATGAAATGATTGAAAGAAACAAATTGTAGTTTGTTTATTAACTGTGATTATGAAGCATGTATTTTACAGGAAGGAAACCAACCCACGACTTTCTTTCACTGTGTAACAGTCATTCTTCAACTGTCCAACAAGATCCAAGACCACCTTCTCAAGGTACTATCAGTTTTCGTTCTTAGATCCCTTTAAAAAAAATGTCTTTAGTTTTTCAAAATGAAAGAAAATAAAATAATAGTAAAAGAAAAACTCCACAAAAGATTTTTGTGTATGGGTGTGGATTTGTGGATGCACGTGACACCAATTGAACGATGGGATCTGGGCCAGGGAAGTAGGGTGGGACAGGGTAAATAGGCTTTGCCAAATCCGAAAAGGAAAGAGTTAGCAGTTAGCAATTAGCACCATCAGATTGGGCATAGGCATGGCATATGGTGTTTTGTTTTTTTATGGGACCCATCTTTTAGGAGTTAGACATGATGTGACATGTCACATGATTCACATTCACCCCTCTGTTGTGCAGGTGTCACGGTGTTAGTAGTAGTAGTACTATTCACAAATCACCATCACAGACCATCTTCCTTTTCCTACTCCTTTATGATAGAGAGGAGGCGCCCATTGTTTTCCGGTCAACAGTTTTTAAGTAATTAATTAGTTAATGATTAATTAATTAAGAGAAGTAACTAGGACTGCTTGATTAAAATTCCTCTACACATTGTAAACATGGTCCTTAATTTAATTCGTACAGCGACTACAACGGTGTTGTAATTACTTGATTAATTAACGTGGACACAAAAAAATATTTAGTTTCTTAATGAAATATTAGGTGTTGGGTCAGGGAGCGGATAGGGGCCAGGTTTTTTTTTTTTTTAATGAGAAATCATCATCTAAGAGATCGTAGCTTAAGATGAAATTTTAAAAAAGAAAAAAAATAATTTAAACATTTGAGAACTATAGGAACTCTTAATGTTAATTTTGATGTTTTGAATATACTATAAGTTTATTGACCTTGCTAATCTACATCAAGAATCGGCAAATTTTGACTTTATATCTTTAACTAAACGAGTAGGTCAATCTTGTATACAATCTTCCTCAATCGATGTTAAGTACTTTGTCATATTGCTGCACAGAATTTCACAATTTATGTTTTTGTTTCCCTCCTGATTCAAATAATTTTTTTTTTTTTGAATTTCAATATTCCGATTTTTAATGATTAGTGCTGTTTTGATTGGCCATTTGCGTAGTTGCTAAACTATTATTCGTTTATTTATTTTTGATTGGGTTCTTAGTTGCTAAATTATTAATCATTCGTCATCATTCCACTTGCCAAAAGTAGCTCAGTTGTAAATCTCAAAGTATTACAGACTTGGAGAATTTTAGTCCGAATGAAGCCATTAGTCAAGGTTGAATCTGAACAGGAAATCTTCCATTTTCTCATGATTAAACAGGTGGCTACCTCAAAACACATGATTTTCTACAACCACTAGAACGAGTAGGCAAAACCACTGCCAAAGAAGAAACCAACGTTGAGATTTTGACGGTTGAAAAGCCACCGCCTCCGGCACCACCACCCTCGGTGGAGCACATCCTCCCTGGAGGCATTGGGACGTACAGTATAAGCCACGTTTCTTATTTCAACCAAAGAGTTCCAAAACCAGAGAACACAATATTCTCTGTAGCTCAAGCTAGTAGTTCCGATAAAAATGATGAGAACTCAAACTGCAGTTCTTATTCAGCAAGTGGATTTACACTTTGGGAAGAATCCACGTTGAAAAAGGGAAAGACAGGGAAGGAGAATGTGGGAGAAAGATCCAATATTACAAGAGGTACTTAGTAATTATTTCAGTTGTACGCATGTGTTCCGTCTGTTTCCTTTCCATTGTTGTGCTTTGCATGTGCATGTGCAATTCCATCCCGCTCTACCAACATACAGCCAAGAGATAAGATGTTAAAATACCGATAAAGTATTAATGACCTCATTTTTATTGTAATACAAGAAAAGTAGAAAGCTCAAGGTTATATTACTACATCTACATGACAATCTAGCTAGGTAGAATGAGCACTAGTTACCTTAATACCCGTTTGGCACTAACCTTTAGCCTCGAATTGTTTTGGTTGGTTTTAGGTTGAGTGATGAGAAACAACAAACTGTGCTTGTCATGTTAAAAACATATCGTCATTTTACGACTTCATTTTTAGGTTATATAGGTCTAGCTAGGGTTCTAGTTGGTTCCGAACATCTCGCACTCGTATTGATCATGTTATTATTTACTACAAGATCAGTTTTGGAGACCAGGTCCAAAGTGCGAAATCAACCCAAGATTGTCTCATTCCATGGCTTCTCTCTCGAACGGTACCCTAGCGCCCAAAACAGGCAGCCGAGAAGGTTAATTATTGGTTTAAATAGAAAATAAGCAAGGTTTTGAAAAATAAAACAAGATATAATTCTCAATATGACGAGTGAGTTTTAGATGAGACTAATGATATCAAACGATGATAGCATTGCATGGCAAATTGGTCCCATTCTTCACGTCATTTTATGTGAAAATCGAATAGGTAGAGCACGGCATAATAAATTCTGTTTAATTTAATTGCATAATAATTTCAATATTGTTTAATCTTAATATTATTGTTATTTTACAATACAGAGACTTACCATTTTATTATACCTAATTACTTTTCCAATAAAATCTGTTTTTTTTTATCAACAATAGAATAAATTATACAAAATGAAAATCACAGGGGTATTTAATAAGCTTTAAGTCCATTCGTTATCGCTGAAACAAAATACCCAATGACAAAGTACTGTTTAAAATGATATCAATATATTAATTATGATTGGAAGTATGTTTGGCGCGTAACAGAAGCGGCAACGAAGACGGGTCAGTCGACGACGTCAGAGAGGCCGTCACAGTCTTCATCGAACAACCATCGCAATAGTTTCAGCTCTCTTTCTTCCTCACAGTTTGTTTCCTTCTCCTTCTTTTACATTTTTTTGGTTTGTTTGTTTTTCTTTTTTTCCCCTTACTGTTAAAATCTAATGATGGGATTTTGTTTTGTTTGTAATATAACAGGCCATCAGGTCAGAAGAGTACCCAGAGCTTCATAGAAATGATAAAGTCAGCCAAAGGTGGTACCTTGGATGATTACGTAGACGATGAAGAAGAGTTCCTTCTTAAGAAAGAAACCCCTTCTCCTATCCATAAAGGTAAATATTGTCTATATAAAAAAATGAACGTATAGCAGTTCTCTTAGAATTGTTGCATCCTCAAATTAAAAATTCTCTTATTTGAGAACAAAATTAGTATTAGTGTCATAGTGTTGCTGTGGCTGTTGGAGTTACATGTCCGTGACCTTTATTTTATTTATTTATTTTTTTACAGGGGAATTGAGGGTAAAGGTGGACGGGAAGAGCAATGACCAAAAGCCTAACACGCCTCGGTCAAAGCATTCTGCTACTGAGCAACGGAGGAGGAGCAAGATAAATGACAGGCATGTGTTAATTGACTTACATTTGGAAAACCTAAGTATCTTTTCCTTTAATCAGATACTACATAATGTTGTTGACTTCTTGTTAGAAGGGAAGTTTCAGTAATCTACGAACGTTAATTTGGTTAAGTTATACAACTCCACACAATCTGTTCCTTTTGTTTTCTACTGGTTTAAATTATGAAGGCTGATGGATATACACTACAAAAGGCCAATAATAAAGCTGATCAGTTCAGCTTTTTATTGTTGAAGCAAACATAATGAAGTACTTGTTTCTCCTAGGAGAAGAAATGGTACATACAATGAAATACTGTAAACTGGGTTGGTTAGGTTGTGCTTGGCATTATCCTTTGTGTCTCCTCTTTGGATAGTAGGATGCTTAATTTAAATGACAATTACGACTGCTTTTGTCAACATTTTGCTGTTCTAAAATTTTGGAGTTATCTTGCAGATTTCAGATGTTGAGAGAGCTCATTCCTCATGGCGATCAAAAGAGAGATAAGGCATCTTTTCTTTTAGAGGTACATACTCTTCATATAGAATTATTTTTCTTTCCTTCAGTATATGGTGTAAATGATGGAGTTTGTGAATCTTTTTACAGGTCATCGAATACATCCAGTTTCTACAGGAAAAAGTACAGAAATGTGAAGGATCATACCAAGGATGGAACCACGAACCTGCAAAACTGGTGCCATGGGTAAATTCTGCTTTACCTTCATATTTTTTTATGTTTTGTGGCCGTTATGATTTGTTGAGTGTGATGCTCGTTATTATTATAGTCTAACAGTTGACTCTCTGTTTAAAACAGAGAAACAATAGTAGGCCTGTGGAAAGTTCTGTTGATCAGTCTCGAGGCGTGAATAGTGGTGCTGGCCCTGCATTATTGTTTGCTGCAAAGTTAGATGAAAAAGACATAACCATTTCTCCTTCCATTATTCCTGGAGGAGCATGGAATCCAGTCGAATCTGACATGAGCTCTGCTAGTACCTTCAATGCAATGGATCACCATCCTGGGATAACAAATAAAGCAATGCCATTTCCTATGTCACTGCAGCCAAACTTCTTCAATCCTGGCAGGACCGCAGGTTTAGCAGCTCCGTTTCCACCCCGACTGGCATCTAATGCAGAGAACATGGCAACTCAACCTCAACCTCAACCTCAATCATGCCATGCCAAATCACGTACCACTGATGGGGCTGTTGCTAGTGATAAGCTGAAAGAACAGGATCTGACTGTTGAAGGTGGAACAATAAGCATCTCTAGTGCGTACTCTCAAGGGTGAGTTTACATATTACAAGTTATAGTTTCAAACTCATTTGGTATGCCCATGTCCTTACTTTTTTATTCTCTCTTGGGTTCCTGGTTCTGCCCGATTAGTCTGATCATGGGTCACAATCTTTCAAGGAGATCATTACACATGCTCAAAACTCAATCACTTCTGTGGTGATCTTTAAAGCGCCACTTTTTACCTACTTTACTCTAGGCATTATAAATTACCTGTGTTTGTAGCATTGGACAATATCCGCTTATTCAGGTTATATAGCTTGCTTCTGCTAGACTGGTTTTTAGCATTCTTCAAATCCGTGCAAGGGGAGAAAGCTTACATGCATACTTGTTCTGAGATATTGAACTCTCACCTTGATATCTTAGGTTCAGCAGCGTTGCCCTTGTACGATTGTCAGAAGATACCCGCTTCTGACTTGAATAAGGCTCATTGCACAATTAGATTGCTAACTATTAGAAGCATATATTGAAGGTTACTTCTCACAATCATGAATCAAGGTCTTGTTTCTACAATAAAGCTGAACTATATTTTGAGTCTATGAATTCCTGTAACTCTTTTTTTTTTTTTTTTTGGCGAATTAGTTTCTTTAGATTCGTTCTAGTGACCAGAAATAACATTGTTTTGCGGTGTTGGCATCATCTCAATACTCTCATAATCTGGATGGATAACTATGCATATAGCTTCACACTACGTAAATTTGTAATAAAGGATAAAAGTCTAGCATTTTCTTGTTGCTCACTGAATACTGTTATTATGGGAAGTAGCCTTCTCTGTAGCCCTTTAAGAAGAGTATTTGTTGAATTATGAGTCAAATAACACAACTTGTCTTGGCATAAAACAGGTTGCTAAATACTTTGACACAAGCTTTACAGAGTGCTGGAGTAGATTTGTCTCAGGCCAGCATCTCAGTGCAGATAGAGCTCGGAAAAAATGGGAATAGCAGACAAACTGCGCCAACATCCATTGTTAAGGTTTATTGGCATTAAACTTTGGATTAATTTCAACTACCGTTTCCATCATATCACTCCTAACCTTTGTTTTTTTCACTTTAATGTAGGATAATGACGTTCGTCCTAGCAATCAAGGCACAACACGTTCAAGAGTTTCAAGCGGTGAAGAATCTGATCAAGCACTAAAGAAGCTCAAGACAAGTAAAAACTAGCGCAACAGTTGCATAATTTTGTTGTTCTTTTACTTGATTTTTTCATTTTTTTGGCACCGTGTCCTATCATGGGGTTAATTCATGTCTTCTCCTGGTTTACAAACTACCCAGTTGAGACAGATGATTGTACATGTAGTTGCTTTCATTTTGTTGGAATGCACAGAAATCCTAGCACACAAATATGTAATTTTTCGCTCCTTTTGTGCACCATTATATTCATAGAGGCTTCCATTCTGATGCTGAGAAGCTGCCATTTCATCTTAAGTCTTTCTACTCGTGTGAGGTTTATAAATAACTGTCAGAGGTGGTGATTAAAAGCTTTGTTGGGTGGCTTGCACATGTATGTTGCATTCCACTTTGACTGCGAATAGGAGAACATAGAAAAGTGCTTAAACTGTAAAAAATGGCTTGGGTCTCAAGGTGATGTCCATCTATATGTACATGTCTTTTATTTCTGCAAAGCCCATTCGCTAAGACTGCCCAAATCTTCCTAACTTTTAATCGATTGGACTTATTTTGCCTGTCTATAGAACTTTCGCATAAAAAAAAAAAAATTGGTTTTGTTGAGGTCTAATGTTACTGGCCAAATCTTTCTATTTGGATTGCTGAGATTATACAGAACAAAGTTGCTATTTAGAAGCTAAAAATGATTCCATAATCTCTGCAATTGGTGGAATTTTATTTGTTGTCTATTATATTTTGTGGCTGCTTTCACTATTTAGCATAAAAAAAAAAAAAAAAAACACCAATCATATTCACATATTGATAAGGATGACTAGTGAGTAGATATTAGAGCATTGATCAAAGATATAGTAGACCAAGGTTACCTGTTGGGAATTTCAATTTTATCTTAGATTAGCAAGGTAGATTTGGTGTATGCCGATTACATTTTTTCAGTTGGTGGGTTTTTAATCATTTTTTAATGGACATGTGGAGGTTGAATTTAAAGATATTCCATGTGATAACTTTTGCTAGGCGATATCGGGATGAGACTTCCAAAAAGAATTAAGTTTATTGTGTTATGATTTGTTTTGGGAATGCTAGTTATTATTGAATTTGAAGTCTCTACCTAGTATTGAAGGAACTAGAAACCTAAAAATAGCACTCGGTGTAAAGATTCTAGGGTAAGGAATTAGTTATGCTTTCGAAAAGGTATCAATCACTCAAAAATGTCATTTCCTAAGAAAGATACTATGTCTAGTTTAGTCCTATAATTAATCCCTTAAGGTGTTTTATTTGTATTAAATTATTTTCGATTTATACTCCAAATTTTCAAGCCAAATTAAGTTTTTTTTTTTTTATTTTGATCATCGTATCATATTGAAATGATCTTCGGACCTTTTCATTAGGAGACACATCGGTTTAAATATCGAATCCACTTTAAACTTTGACACAACCGATGTGTGAGAGAACATCTTGATTATTAAATGATCATTTTTTGGCTAACAATAATCCCTATTAGATAGGAGACTTTGTTAAGAATTTTGATTAATTTTTGTTTATTTTTGTTAACAACAATCCCTATGTAATGCTCTTGTCTTAGGACCTAGTTAGGTCGAGGGTATTACCGACATTGATCTACATTCGATATGCAATGAATGTAAGCCAAGAAGACTCCTCTTTATCTTTGCTAGTACATTAGCGGAAGTGGGCATTTATCCATACATAAGGTCCCTACCGAGCATGAGATACTAGGTCTACTAAACATAGTTTGAGTATAAAATTTTTCCTCGGATTCATTAAAACCTTTCATAATTTCATCCAAACTTTTTTATTAACAACTTAACCATCTAGTTTACATTTACTTTTAAGCCTAAAATTCCCTTTTAATTCCTTACATTTTAACCTAAGTTGTATGCATTTTTATACTCCAATCAATTCTATCATCCTAGCCATATTAGTCATATTTTAAGCAACCAAATTCTAGGACTAACAAGTTTGACTTGACCATACCTAACATTCAACTAACCTCTCCATTTATACCAAAACAATATTTGTTTAATTGGCTTACATACATATCAAAAATTTGTCTAACTTGCTATGCACCAAAAATCAAGTTAAGCTATACAAAATTCCCATACTCACTACCCCAAAGCCAAAGCGCACAAAATTGCAAGTTAGTCACTTGTCTTAGCAGACGACCCTTCAATTATCTTTATCATTTCCTACACCATAAGAAAAAAATGATGAGTAAAAGAATGCTTAGTAAGTATAACTCATGCAATGTATGTGATGTCCATATGTATGAATGCTCATGATGTATCTTTTATAAAATCCTTTTCATGCCTTTGAAACCATTTCTCCTTTTTCCATTTTCCTTTTCGAGTGCACCATTTCTTTCATCATTTCTTCAGTTGGGGCCTTCACTAAATCCCCTAACTTGTCGAGGTATTTACCAAATCCCTCGATGAAAAAATGGCTTTACCACATTTTTCAATTGAGGCCTTTACCAAATCTCCCAAATGTCGAGGCTTTTACCGAATCCATCGATTAAGAAATGACATTATCATGAAAACCTTTTTCCTTTTTCCCTTCATGAAAAATATTTCTTTTTTCCTTTCATGTAAACCTTTTCCTTTTCCTTTCATCAAAATCATGAACAAAATTCCTCTTTCATGATAATGATGTGCATATGCATTTTTGAATGAAATACAATGCCATGAACATTACCTTAACATGCGTACCTTTTGAAATTCCTTGAAAACATATGCACACATGATGTATCCAATAGATGTTCCAAATACGTAAATAAGCATGCAACAATAATATGCACCTAAACAATCAAATGTTATAGAAAGCATCATAATCAAACATTTTTTATACAAACATGGCCGATCACAATAAGCATCATAAATAATCATTTTTCATATGCATATAACCTTTTCCATGCTATTTATACATCTAAACCTCACTTTTGATAATTTTTTCTTTGTCTTTCTTTTTCTTACTTAGCCAAATTTGAGCTAAGTAAAGGAAAAATTCTCTTTCCTTCATTCTAGCCTTAGGAATGTCTCTAAGATATTTCATCAAACATTTGGTAGGCATGGGACAAAGTAATTACCAATCTATGCCTTCTTAAGAATTGTTCGCCCACCTTGTTCATGAAATAAGAATATCATCCAAATACAAACATTCACATTATTCAAACATTCCAACATTGTTTCCTCATAATATAAACACATTCATATCACAAATCATTGAAATTCAATCATTAACATACAATCCTCAATAACCTATTTATCAAACCTTCATCATAAAAGCTATGAATTACTACTAAATCACACTTCAAAAATCTAATTCTTATTGTGTAGGTGAGGAATTATACTTATCTCACTTACAATTTTTGTCTTTCTTCTTCCTTTTGTCGTTGCTCCTTCCTTCCTTTTTTTTTTTTTTTTTTTTAAATTTCAACCAAATAAGGAAACTCTTCCATTCTATTTGCTTGATCTTCTAAGATGGTTTGAAGGCTAATTTAAGGTGTTTCTAAGTAGCTTAAAGTGATTTGGAGTGGTGGATTTTGTGTGGGTGGAATCTCTCTTTGACCTAGGGTTTTTCCTTTTTCTTCTCCCTTTTCCTTCCCTTTTTTCTCTCTCCCTATTTTTATCTCTTTAAAAATATAGAAATCTAGATTTTTTAACCCTTTTTTCCTTTTAATTCAGCTAGGGAGTACCTCACATTATAGGCACTTTATACCTTAGTCTTCCAACTTTCAATCCTTGTAATTTGACCATGTAGTTTCAATCTATAAATCCATATTTTCCATCAATTTGGCCCTTATCTAGGCCAACCCTAAAGTTATTCAAGCCCCTAAGGTTTCATAATCATTCATGTAAGGACCTTGACACTTAATCTTTACAATTATACTCTTATATTTTGTAATTGCATCCTTATGACAATGCATAACCATATTAATTAAGGACACCATTGCCTAATGCAATCTTTCCTCATTCCACAAACTCATTCTATTAATTTTACTTATGTTTCTTTTATCCTTAATTGAACTTCAATCTTACTCAATCATTCAATAAACACACCTCTTTATTAATTAAAAAAATATTCATACATGGCAATTACATTTCTAGAAGGGTTTTAGGTCATGGATATTACATCCTCTACTCCTTATAAAAATTCCATACTTAGAATTTCTAACTAAATACTTTAAGATATTTTACTTTCATCTCTTTTTTTCTTTTCAATGTCGTTTCCTCTATGTTATGGTTTCTCCATAACACTTTCACTACTTATTCCTTAAATAGTTTATCTTCTAATCTAGGATTTGAACTGGGCCTTCTTGATAGCTAAGATTGGATTGGAGGTCCAGTGACTCATCTCTTAGAATATGGCTTGATTCTTTCATATATTTTCATAATATTGACATGTGAAATACGTTGTGCATCGAAGAGAGGGATGGAGATAATGCTAATATGTACACACGATCTCCAATCCTCTCTAATATTTCAAAAGGTCTAATGTACCTTGTACTCAATTTTTCTTTTCTTTCGAATCATATTACTCCTTTCATTGGTGCCACCCATAGGAAAACCTTATCACCGACATTAAATTCTAAGTCTTTTCTTTGAACATTAGCATAACTCTTTTACCTATTTTGAGTTGTTTTCATTGTTAACTTGATCTACTCAACCACTTTTGTCGCTCGTTGAATAATTTTTGATCTTAACGACTTACGTTCGTCAACATCATTCCAATGTATTGGTGATCAGCATCTTCACCAATATAAAGCTTCATATGGTGCCATACCAATGCTAGCATGATAGTTATTATTATAAGTAAACTCTATAAGTGGTAAGTATCTTTTCCACCTAGCAGACCAGTCTAGAATAAAGAATCATAACATTTCTGTAAAATCCGATTCACCCTCTCTCTTTGTTCATCGATTTGAGGATGAAAGGATATAATGAAGTTTAGATTGGTTCCCATCACTTGATACGGACTCTTTCAAAATTGTGATGTGAGCCATGGATCTTGGTCTAAAACAATTG